GGGAAGCAGGAATCAAACCATTCAAGGCGTGAGCACAGGCTCTAGAGCCAGGCTGCAGGTTCAAATTCCAGCACTGCCGCTTCCTCCTCTGTGACCTTGGGACAGGCACTTTGCTTCCCTGTGCCTCCGTCTCCCTGGTGGGGGGTGATAACGCCAGCCTCCCAGGGTCGCCGTGAGGAGGTAAGCTGTACACACCACGTGCTTAGAAGCGTGACAAGCACATAGGAGGCACAGCCTGTTATTAAATACAACGAATCCTTTTTAAGCATTTAATTTTCGGAATAAATTTACCAGCCACGTGTATTTCTCCGTTTAGTTTTCCAAAGGAAACAAAGTTTATTGAGATTCTTCAATTATTCTCTAGAATGAACTTTGCACCTTTAAACAGTTAGGGGGAGCCCTGACCCTAGATCCCGACGTCCGCCCTCTGCCCCTCCTGCTGTGGGGCGCCCTCTGCTGGCGACTCCGGGTGGTGACGCTCGGGTCTGAGGAGCGGAGCTCAGGCTGCCCTGAGAGCAAACCAGGCCTGGTGCCGATGACTCCAGGACTCCCTCTTACCCCCTGGCCCAGGTTAGATGCCCTTCTTTGCCTTTTTTCCTATGGTGGGTTTGCTTTGTAGCCCCCAGCAGTTTTGACACCCAGTAAGTGTTTTATGACCACATGTTAAATTGAACTGAACTGGGTCACCCCCAGGTGGAGGACCTAGTGCCCGAGCAGAGAGGAACAGATGGAAGAAAAGGCTGGGAGGGGGAAAGAGCACCACAAGCAACCCGCATTTCTACTGGGGCCCTCCCTGCCCACTGAAACTTAAATCCTGCCTCATTAAAAATAAGCTTGCCCAGTCACCCGCAGTGTGTGTCCCTTGCTTCTCTCCACAACCATTTACTAAAGATCCCCCTGAAATACAATCCTGCCCCCCCAAAACTTCAGACTGATAAAAGAGATAAGCCTCATCAAAGGACACAGTCAACAGAGCGAAAGGGCAGCTGGCAGAATGCGAGAAAATATTTGCAAATCATATATACCTGGTAAGGGCTTAAAATCCAGACTAGACGAAGAACTTCTACAACTCAACATCAACACCCCCTCCCCGCCCCAAATAATCCAATTTAAAAATAGGCAAAGGACTTAAGTAGACATTTCTCCGAAGAAGATATGCAAGTCACCAACAAGAAGAGACTAATGGTCAGGTGAGAGGGAAGGGGAAGCAGAGGGCATCCTCGATGGTGGGCCCAGCAGAAATGAAGGCCCAGGGACAAGAATCTGCAGGACTTGGGGACTTGGAGGCAGGTAGCACCCTTCAGTTCATCAGACATGCACGAAGGGGGTCATAGAAATGAGGCAGGAATGTGCCCAGCCATGCCCAGGGTTCTAGTTCATGTGGCATTTGCCTCAGTCTGCCCTGGGCAGGGATGGAGACAGCTGTGTGGCCGACTGGCTGAGCGCACTCAGGGCGCTCGCGCTGGCCCGGAGCCGTGTGGAACGGCTCTCCGCCCTCACACAGGGTACATCTATGGCTCACACTTTCCTTTGTCTCAAGACATAAAATTAGCAAGAGGTCTTCTGCCGACAATCACATTTTTCTGTGAGGTCCATGCAGAAGCACCAGCTGTTTGTCCATAACTCGGTCACTCCGCAGGGATCATTCTAACCCGAGCACACTGCCCCGATGCACTGGGTGTCTGCAGCCTGCCCTGAATTCCCACCACTGCGCACAGAGCTGGGCCTAGCATCCGCAGGCTACGCGGGGCGAGGGAGCAGGCACTTAGCTCTGGCCGCTCACTGGCTGCTTGACTGCGCACAAGCTCGTCTCTGAACTTCCAGTTCATCAGGAAAACAGAGCGGTCGCGATTCCTGATGTAAGATCAAGTGGGGGAGTCATGTGCGTCAAGTGCACCGAAAAGTGTCAAGTGGCACACGAATGCGAGAAGTGGTGACAATGATGGATCTCCTTCTATGCTGAATTCAGCATTTCTCCGCCTCTCGAGACCCGGAGGATGCCCGCGCACAGGAAGCAGACGGCATGCATGTTCCCGGGAGAGAGAGGTTGTGCGTGGGCACAGGACAAACAACGCTGCCAGCCTTCGTGTCACAAAAGTACTGCTTCCAGCCCCCTGGCGCTTTGGATCTTCCCTTCCTTTGTTCTACTTCCCTGCTCTTTCTTTCTATGTCTATGGCCCTGTCACCGTGGCACAAATAGGTACATCACGTTGAAAACAGAGCCGTATAGGGGAAGACACTCTCCCCTTCGAAGCGGAGCTGGGAGTTAGGAGGACAGTGTGAACCAGGCTCCCTGGATGATGGGGTCTCAAGATTCCCCGTGGGAGGGGAAGAGAGCCGGAAAGCAAGCATCTAGCCAATGCCCACAGGGTGTAACACCTGAGGAGCTGGCTGGATTCAGAGCAATGATTCCTGCTCCTAGGGCCTGGGCAGAGTCTCCAAATACACAACTAGCCTGGGGACATTAGATGACACTGGGGCTTGTCCCTGCCAAAGGTGGATATGCACAGGTGAGAGCTCACCTCCAGAAAGACACCAGCTCCACCCAGGAGTGAGCTCTGTCTCATCTCCTAGGGCATCCCAACTAACAATGAAAGCTGCCACTGTGGAGACGGGAAAGGAAGGGGAGGCTGAGGGGAAGGCCTGTAGGACGGAGCGGGCAGAGCTAAACAGGGGAGCTTGTCCCAAACCAAGGCCATCCCTGTTTCTTATCGCAGGAAGCCGGTGCCTGTTGAGCCAGGACTTGTAAAAGTCTCAAAGAGCTCAAATAAAAAAGTCAGCTCCTTGATTCTAGATCCCACTCTGCTAATATGTCACTGGGTCATCTGAAGTGGTTACATAATCTCATCTGATAAAAGATTTTTTTTAAAAATCCTGGAGAGTTGGATGAAACTCTAGCACCTTGCCCACGTTTTACAAACGCAGGCCAGGCTATATTAGACAAAACATCCTTAATCTGTTTCCAAAAGCAAGAGGCCCTCGGAGGTGTGGAGTAAATGTGAGTGTAATGGCGTTTCTGGGACATACAATTGTTTGTAGTCACCATCACAGGCAGAATATTCCAAAGGGGACTGTTCCAGAAAGCCTGCGACGAGGGATTGCAAGAAGCGGTGGCCTTCCAGCCAGGATGTTCCCTCCCAGGACACTGCCATGTGGTCAGCAGCACCTCACTGAATATCTCCTCGAGGTTACGGGACTAGTTTTAATATTGGGGCAAAAATCCGCTCCCTAACAGACTGACGAATCTCAGAGGAAAGGCAGGGTCGGGGGACAGAGAGAGATTAACCAAAGAACTTATACGCATATGTGGATACCCAGGGACACAGACAATAGTGTGATGAAGCCTGGGGGTGGGGGGGAGG